TAGTCTAATTGACTAGGTGAGATTGCGATGGAAGGCTATTCTGATGATATACGCGCGAATTGATGCTGAGCCTCGAATGCTGACGTCTTAGGCTGAATGAGGGATCTTGAGCCCCTCTTTGTGGCGTTTACCCTGATGCTGACAGGCGAGACCGGACCATCCGCTTTAGATTTTGTGATGATAACATGCAGATTGAAGATAGTCCGTAAGAATGAAGCTTGAGGATACGAAGTGAGAGGTTTTTGAGGTTGAGTGAGACAAAAACCACTCGTAATATTGAGATCAAAAATTCAGTTCCACCTCATAGATAGCTTCTGCTTATGCAGGTAAGCTAAGCCTCCTAAGCTACTTGCCCCCACCATATCCGCGGAGTTTAGGCGGGCTTTCGCATGAGCTCGGGGCCAATCGGAGCCTGAGACTGACATCATTCAGTTGTTGACACAACTCCAGGTTTGGATAAAGATCTTGTGCTTTATCCAGTTTGATCAAAGAACTGTACTGGACTTCCTACCATCATTCTCTTATTTTTGACTCTGTGACGTTGCATGCAAGCTCGTGAACGTCTTGTTTAATCACCGGCTCGTATCTTATCTCCGCCCTGAGTCAATTGCCACGTAAGGTAGCTTGTTGACGGATATCGGAGAACAAGAGGGTCCGTCGATTTTATGGCCCGGCTTTTTCGGATACTCGGAACGGACGAGTCTCCCGTGCTTATGCTATAGATTACCGAATTAATGGCCAATGATAATCAAAAGTATTGAACACTCTATGCATGAAGTCCGATGCCTCCGCTGTGATCAAGTTGCGTCATTCACTTTGCGTTTCGTTCAGTTCCCAAGTCTCGAGAGCCAACGGAGCCAAGCAACCAGTGCCTGCCCCCCTGTTTGTCAGACTAGCCGCCTCAATGGTCAATGATGAAAGAACACCCCTGTTTCCGTATTTGGCAGCTTCAGCTGTTAATACTGCTGTATCTGGTCTCTGGACTGCTGTGTAGAAGTTTAAGCCAGCTATGAATTTCTGGATGATCGATGTCTCCGGACATTGTATCTTTTCTGCTCGGTTGGTTCCCCGGAGCCACAGAGGAGGGAGCAAGGCTTTGGAAAGAAACATTCCACGGGGTTGAGCCTTAGTCTTCTTAGCCACCCTCCTACTCTTCGCGTGCTATGGTGTTTTTTATAGCATGCGTGTATTTTGCTATGACTGTATTGAAAAACATACCGCCTCCTGGAGCGCATCATGTAGTACCATAGTGTTGAGAACTATGCCGTGATTCTAATTTTAAATCTGTCAGCAACGTTACAGCGACTTTACAAATAAAAAGGGCCGTAAACAAACCTGAGTTGAGACACATCCAGGAATCCTCTGGTGTTTAGGGTATTCAACTAAGAGATAGACGTAGCCTTGGTAGGGGAGAATGTGAGGGGTTTGGGTTAGACATGTAAAGCTTGTTACCTACCTAAGACAATAGCACTAAGGATATAGACAAAGAGATAGTAGTGGCTAGGTAAAGGACGCCACCGGTGAATGATCCGCAGCGATAATGAGAGTCCGAGAGAGGCTGAGTTTGTTCCGGAAATAACTCAGGACGGCGATGCAAGTGATACTAACCAGATACGGTTAGCTGAAGTCGATCGTTTCAACAGCTGGAGGCTCTGGACTCCCAGAATCATGTAACTTCACTCATCTCCGGGCATAGGAATCCTTTCCAATAAGAATGTGAAGCATTCTGCTGCGTTGGAAAATGAGATAGAAACCTAACATGCCATGAAGCCTGTCGAATTTGATAGTAGGTGCAGCGTCCTTGGTCAAATACCAGTGTTCCAAGTCGAGAAGGATCGCAACAGGGATGACGAGAACCAATCACACAAGCGCTAAGTCAGATCCCCCAACTTCGCCTGCATTAGTGATAACAGTGAGACATGAATGCGAGATGTCACAGGAGAGAAAATGAGAGACTCGACACTTGTTTGAGCATTGCCAATGCGATCAAATATTTGATTCCCTCCGTCTACAGAAGGTTAAGAGGTTACAGCAGGACAAACATTCAAATCTTGATAAAGCTTGGTAATGTGAGCTGAGTGAGATGAAACATCTGTGATAGGGTTGTCGATCCTAGTGCCTTGAAACCGGGGGCTGAGGCACCGAAGGAGGCGGGCCTCTCATTCTACTGGGCCATTTAGTGATTATCTCACTACCGTCTTTCCAGGGATGGTCCATGATACTTGTTGTCTACTGGTGAAGATCTTGATTTCAGAAACCGCGTGAAGGATACTTTAAGAGTTTTTCGCTGTAACCACCGAAAGGTTTGTATCTTAAAGATCCCCGCATGTCGCAAGTTTATACAAACTTCATTTGACGATGGTTTAATCAGCAACGAGTCTCGTCTACACAGCCTGTTGACAACGGGGGCCAATATCTGTCTGACACACCAAGCCACTTACTAGCGGAGACTAGATGAATGGCGAGGCTCATTCCCGCTTCTTAATTAAGGACACTTGCAGGATGTCCATCCCTGTAATGCATCCATTGCGCCCATCACTTGAAAGATCGACAAGTAAGCTATAAGATGTAGTAATCCTTTGTGTCGCGTGTCGTCTTTTCTTCGCTCTCTTTTCTCTTCCGCACCACAAAGTTCCATCATTACAACGTGAAAGATGGCGACTCGTCGATTACTTGCCATACTGGCATTTCTATCTTTTCATCATGTAGTAACAGCTGCATTCACGAATCCGCCACCGAGCGACTCCAGCATAAATAACCCTCACTATAAGCTGGGGGAGGAGATCAAGATTACTTGGGAGACAGATGCGGAATTCACTGATCTTACGATGTGGCAAACCGGCACTGGCAAGAGATACAACCTGCAATGTAAGTTTATTAGAAGTCAGTGATGAACTGTTGGTTGACCGTGTTCCAGCAAACAGCAAATCGAAGGAGTATATATGGATCGCATCATATCAAGGCATCGACCCCGCCGACGGAAACTCTTTTAGTCTCTGGCTTTTCAAGACTGGCGACACAGGGGCTCTTTTTGCAAGCCATACATTCAACATCACTGATCCTTCATCCGCGACAACTTCAGCGCCAACGGGTACGCGAACAAATAAGCCGAACACCAAGACAAAGACAGGCGAAGCAAGTGAGACGGAGACGACTGCGGCCACTGCTTCGTCGACAAACGAGCCGTCGTCTGGGCTATCTACGGGTGCAACCGCCGGAGTGGCAGTAGGCGCTGTCGCTGGAGCACTTCTCATTGCTGGCGCTGGATTCATGCTCTGGAGAAGACGGCGGGGCAATACGGCTGTACCGTCGACAATCACGGCAGAAGAAGCACCGAAATATGGATATGCACCAGTTGAAGCACCGGGTGATAACGCTGCAAGGCATGGACCGTGGGAAATGGGAGGGTCGCCTACACATTTCACGCATGAGTTACCAGCTGACAGCACGGTACAGCATCGAACATGAACGGGAATAGGAGCATGGAGTCTGGATATATACCATCTATTTATTGTTATTTGTAGAAACCTTATGAGTTTGAAATTATCTTGCATTCTCTTTACTATTCTGTGCTATAAGTTTAGGTATTAGAACTCGCCTTGATTGAGAAGCCAACCGTGCGCTTCCCAGTCATGTCATAGTCCGGATCTTCTGGAACGGTCCATCCAAACAAATCAATCAGCTTCTCCCTTATATTCTCATAGTTTGCCCCAATTCGTAAGACACGTTCATTGTTCAAGTCCAAGATAGTTCCAGCCCTCCCATACAGATGCCACTTCTGCCGACCGTAATTAACAACCAAATCTGCTGCTTCAATAATCTCTGGCTCAATGTCTTCAACTCGAAACTTCTGCCCCTGATCCGTCAGGTTGGCACTGCTGCCCACCATCACTAAACCGTTCTCATCGTTTAGACGTGCAAGTTCGCGTGAGAAAGGGCCTTCGCCGATGGCGAAACCTAGAGTACCGTTCTTGACAACCCGCTCAACATTCGGGATGAGCTCTGCTGCTGACTCCTTTATCTTTCCAACGAAAGCAACCGTTAATCCCAGTTCTTCTGTAAATGTTCGAACGATGGTGTATTTATCATCTGGAACATCATATAGTCGCGTGAGAAGGTCGTATGTTCCGATGACACCCATAGAATGCCCTGCTCTACGCTTCTTGGCGATAAAGATACGCTCGATTGCATCGGTGCTTGCGGCCATCATGCCGTATCCAACGTCGGTTGGGGCGATTATGACGCCGCCCTTTTTCAAAACTTCAAAGGCCCTGAGAGCGTCCCGCTTTGCGTCTGGAAGCTCGCCAGCCCGCGGTGTCACTGGAAATGAGATGTTGCTAGCCATTTTGTTGATGGAGTATACAGTAGCAAGACCAGTTGTGATCAGTGGATGTGAACTTATGACTACAACTGAACTTGAGGGTGGTTGGAGAGGATGCAGGTGTTTTTTTTTTGAACAATTTGACTCCAGTTTTGAGTATGAATGAAGATCAAATATTCGAGAAATAAGCACTACTTATTAGCTTATATATTGAAAGGATTAGGCCAATCATGTGATAGCAACATGTTCACTTTAGGTAGTCATTTCGACAAGTCTGACACCGGAACGGACGGCATGCAGATCAATTCACCACGTCTGTCAAAGGAGCGCTTTGATGCCACCCAAAATGTCTGATCTTTTCAAAAGTTCCAAGTCAAGTTAATCCTTTGGCAACTTTGCATAACTAGAGCATCTGTTTTTACTGCAGCATACCTCTACGTCTGGATAGCATTTGCATGGTGGCAAATCAATATTCAAATCTTATGCCAAACGGCAGTACCAAGATAGAGACCATAAACACCCCGTGCAGGAGTCTTCAATTGCAATCTAAATAAGAAAATATTTCAAAGCCAATTGAGTCTCGAAAAACCAACACCCAAGCTCCAAGGACCTACCATAGACACTAAATGAGTAAAGTAACAAACTTACCATTTCTCTCTTATCAGACTTCCATCTCCTTCTACTGATTCTGCATCCGTTCAGCTCGCTTCTGCTCCGCATGGGCCTTGCGATAGGACGCAATCAACTCCCTGAGAGTCATAGAACCCTTAGGAAGACGCGACTCACTATAGATGTCATTGTCCTTAGCTGGTGAACCTTTCGTCTCTTCGATATCCACAACCTCCTGGGTAGCTTGTGTCTCATCCATCTCATCAGCAGTGATATAATCATCTGAATCATCGTCTTCAAGAGTTTCGCCCAGAGCTTCAGCAGCCTCCCGAGCCTCTGTCTTCTTCATAATCGCAATCCAACGAGGCAAGTTCCTCTTCATGTATCCCAACACCAAGCCTTCCTTCTTCTCCCAGTTATAAGGCCAACTCTCTTCCCACGGAACCTCAGCTCGGCGCTTAGAAAGACGAACTAGGTCATCCACATCGACACCAATCTCGATAAGCCTCTTAACCGCGGCATCGTATTGGGCGTGATCATGGGTCTCGAGATGGTTGATAAAACGGATGATCTGACGAGCACCGAAGCTGGTGTTGATGATTCTCTTGCGGCATGGCTCGTAGTCTGTGTGATCGAGGGGGTAGCGAGATGTTTTGGAGAAAGTGTGATCCTCGTCTAGCTCAATGGGGCTAGGGAGACGGAGCAGAGAAATGTGGCTGCTTCCGCTGGTGTTTCGGGTGTGAGAAGACATAGTAATGGATGGTGTTAGAAGTGCTAAAGATATGAATATGAGCAGGGTATGTAGTTGGTGACTCAAGTCTGGATGTCAGAGAAGTGTGTTGATCTGACAGGCTGCATGGCTTCAAGCCGTCCTTTATAAGAAGAAATCTTGAGAACATGCTCTTTGTGAAACTTTCCGAACAAAGTGAAGCGGGCATAAACAAGCCTTGAGAGATAATGCCAGTAGTAGTTGGCAATGCGAGATCTGTTCATGCATGAAAACAATGACGGAACAAAAGAAAAGTGGAAAGGGACACGGAACATAAGTAAAATCCTTTAATGACGGAAGTAATGTTTTTGCACATAAGAATGAGAGAGGCTTGTGGAAAGGAAGAACAATGTCGCAGAGGAGCTCAAAGGAAACATTTCCAGCAAAGTGAGTATCCACAGGCCAGTGTTGGTATCAGATTCCCTCGCCTTTGTTCTTCGTGCACAAACAGACTAAGACCTTTTCCTTCGATTTCAAAGACTATGTTACTGCAGATTAACAAACGAAGCAGCTTGATATCTTAGTCTACAATGACGATACTGTAGGATAGGATATCGTATGAAATTAGTCGACCTAGATAGACGTGTGGATGAATTAAGATCGCGGGAGATAGATCCAATTTTAGCCTGTCAGAAACCAAAAGTATGCGTTCTATTCAAAGTCTAGAGTCAACATATTTGCCGTCAACAATCAATGTCGTCCATAACTGGTAAACCCGTAGTTACACAAGATCACTCTCCTTCACCAATATATCCCGGTTTACCTCTGTAATATCCCTCAGTCCAGCCAAGTGCATGTTCATAGTTAAATCACCACACAGCGCTCTCAGAACATGCCTCACACCATCCTCACCACCTAACGCCAACCCATAAGCATAAGGCCTTCCAACAAGAACACACTTCGCTCCCAGGGCAATAGCCTTCATAATATCAGCACCGCATCTGATACCACTATCAAAGAAGATATCAAGCTTATCACCAACAGCATCAACAATTCGCGGGAGCATACCAAGACTGCTCGCTCCGCCATCTTGTTGACGACCGCCATGGTTGCTCACCACAATTCCCTGAACACCAACCTCAACACACTTTTTTGCATCGCGAACACTCTGGATTCCTTTGAGAACAATGGGCCCGTCCCAGTGCTTCTTTAGAAATTCAATGTCTTCCCAGGAATGGGAATGGCCGGGGAATACGATCTTGGCCCACTCTCTGGCCGCGCCACCGAGACTAGCTCCTGCGGATCCGCCCTGAGCCGCTTGATAGACTCCACTCGCTGCATCAGTGATATCATAGCCGTGCTTCTCCTTGAACTTCTTTTGGAAAACAGGATCTGTCAGACCGATTTCGACGCCAATGTGGTCCGGGTGGATGAAGGGGTTATAGCCGTTGTCTAAATCGCTCGGACGCCAGCCCAGGACGTATGTGTCAAGGGTGACGAAGAGAGCCGTGTAGCCGGATGCTTTGGCGCGGTTGAGCATTGAGATGGTGATGTCGTCGTGTTCACGGCTAGGCCAGTAGAGCTGGAACCAGCGAGGTGCATCCTTTCCATTCGCTGCTGCAACATCTTCAATACTAGTGCTTGAAGCTGTGCTTAGTGTATAGGGAACTCCAAGAGATGCAGCGGCTCGAGCAGTAGCAGCTTCACCTTCAGGGTTGAAGATCTTTTGAACCCCAATGGGTGCAATTGCCAATGGGAACGGAAGCTTTTGCCCAAGAACTGTGGTAGAAGTATCAGAAAACTGCTCATGGCCATTCTCATCCTTGTGACTTGGCACAAGGCGATTCGGAACGATGGACCAGCGAGAGAAAGCAGTCAAGTTGTTCCTGTACGTTGAGCCACTACCGCAATTTCCGTGGATGTACCCCCAAGAAGTTGCCGAGAGTGTCTCTTTCGCCAAAGGCTCCCATTGCGAGGTTTGGAAAGTAAAGGCAGGACGAGCAAAGTGAAGACCAGCGTCAAAGATGGATTTCTCGTAACCGAGAACGTCAGCGCTTGGTGAAGCCATGATCAATCTGAGTAATTACTTGCTGATATTTGTACTTGGAGGCTGATATGTGAAACATTTCCCCAAGAAAATGCGACTATGGTATTATATATAATTTCCAACATGCTTCTGACCTCGGTTATCGTGACAATTGCATCACAGCAGATCCATAGCAATGTCACCGAAATTTCTAGTTTTCAGCCTTACAAGTGCAATGATGTAAATTAAAGCGGTTCAATCGGATATCTCGGACCGGACAAGTGCCCGCTGCATCGGCTTTCCGCCGGTCGTGAACTTCAGCGGAGGCTAAAATCCGCGAAAGAGCCGCTAAGACGCTAACTTTTTGAACCTCAGTCGATATCATCGTTTGAAATTCATTATTCGAGATTATGGTCGTTTATTTCTAGGTTTGGGGTGAACGTTCTGCTATAAACGGCCCGATTGACATGACGTATAGAAGTTGGTGCAGATACCGGACGACTCAGAGACATCTAATTGTTACTTTCTAGAAGCCGATATCTCCCGCTTGATGTGAAATGGATTGTACGCTAAGATAGAGTCGACAATACCTAACCAGGTTTCGATAGTCAGACTGATGACCTAAGAAGTACTGGAGTCGAACCCGAACAAGTCATCAAACACTATCATATCCCGACTTGTAAGTGCTTCATCTCCAGCGCCATAATGGTTGAAGCCAGGCTGAGGCATCGGTACAAAGTCCTCCTGTGCCAGAGGGGCTTCAAACACAAAGCTTTGCATGATCTGATCGATGTCAAAATCGGAAACCTCCACGTTAGAGAAGTCAACTGCCGTGTCAGGCGTTGGCTGCTGCGTGACTGACACGTCGGGCTCTTGGTACATGATGTCAGGACCAATTTCAGATAGATCAGATAAATCAATCTGTCCCAGGTGACCGTCTTGACAGCTTGTCGGTTCTATCGCCACAAACTCCCCGACGTTGACTCCCAATCGGTTCATAATACCAAGAAGAATCTTCATCGTTCGCTTTGGGGCGTGGCACCACGTCTGCTGTTCGGATAAAATCTCCAAACAATTTCTGAGACACGCGTGCGCTTGAGATCCTGGACTTTTCTGCGCCGCCATACGCACATGAATGGTTGCACTCACGTACGTGGCGTACGATATAAAGTAAGGCGCTGTACGAAAACAAAAGTGCTGCTTGTAAATTTGAAGGATCTGGTGGATCTCTATCGCAGCTGTGACACAGTTGAAGAAGGCTTCAGGTGCGGCTATTCCAGAGACAGATGTAAGGTGACCTTCCGAAAGAAAAGGACGATAGATCAAGATGATTAGGGAGTTACACAATGCCCTGCTCGAGTTAGTGTGTGGACAACAAAGCCAAGGAACACACTTACAACAACGAAAGGTTGTGAGGCAGGATGTTAGAGGAAGTAGGGTTGTTCAGATCAACTCTCAAACGCTCTGGCAATCCATCCTTCCAAGATTTCAGATCATGGTGAAGCGACTGTGCAGACTGCCATATTTGATCAGCAGTCTTTGTGGCGCTCCTCTCCGCATAAAGAGCGCATAGAATACGATCCATGATAATGCTGAGTCCGCAAAGTTGCCCAAACGTGGTGACACTATACGTCGGGCAATCCAACTGAGACGGTTGAGCAGAATACGTTCGAGTATGAAAATCCTCCAGTTCTTCATATTCATCGAGAAACGCGATCGGTACACGGTTATCATGCTCGCGTAATCGAGTTGGACGGCCTTGGTAGATAGACTGCACCTTGTCCGAAACTAAAAATATCAGCTTGAGAAACTCTGTGGGTGTTGCATGCTTACTGAATGTTGCCCAGAACACGCGACGCTCGATCTCCGTATCTTCAGCAGATGCTCTTTTTGAAGATCTTCGAGCTGGGCCATCAATGTGCAGACCAAGATCGATTATCATACTAATCGCGATACCTAAGTAGTGCCACGAGAGACTCCTCTCGTTACACCACGAGAACAGTGCATCTGAAACGACCAACAGCGCCTGAATGGTGGTTATTTCACTCTTGAATAACACCTGGGAGCCACAGGCGTGCAAGGCTTGTTCAAACTTGATTCGATATGGACGCCCGATGGAATTCAGCCTGCCGGTGTTTCGGAGAGCGGCTGCGTCGACTGTATGCATAGAGCAAGCAAAGAGCATGGCCGTGAGGAGGAGATCAGAGTAGTGAGGACCGTTGCATGCCATGTCGCGCATGAAGGCTGGTCGATACACGATAGAGCCCATGTAGTGCTGGCGGTTCCAGAACTTGGAAAGGAGATCCATGCCGATGTTTCGGTCAACACCACCGAAGTTAAGCTTTCCTGATCTGAGGTTGATCTTTTCTAGTTGACCTGATTTGAATGAGCATCGAATGTTGAATCACGAGCGATATGCACTTACGTTGCCTAGTTGTCTCTGCCAAAAGTTGGTTCTTGGCAATCTCAACGGAGCTGGTTATATGAGACGAGTCTCTGGTAGTTCCTATGTGTATAGCTCCGCTGGAAGGGCCATGAAAAGCGGCACCCTCGGGTTGCCCGGTCGATAAATGGTAAGAAGGAGAGACAGCTTGCGTCTTTGCTTGATAAGTCTGATCGTTGATGCAGTTTAGCGTAAGTGTAGATTCAGTGGGATTTGGGGTTTCAGCCAAGTGAATCTCTCCTTGCTGAGTATCGGAATGCACGCTGCTCAACTCTGGACTTCTTGAACACAACTGATCGCGTAAACGAGCATTTTCCTCTTCCAGTCTCTGTATGCGCGCATTGGACGGTCTGCTCATGCATGTTAGCACTAACCATGGATGCTCTCCTAAGAACCTTACCTAGCCTGAGCAGCTCTCTGAGAATAGGTGCACTCGATAGCCCGACCCTGGCAATTTTCGCACTTTGGCTTCGCGTTATCGCAACCAAGCTGGAAAAGGTCAGCAGATAAGTCGCATCATGATGAATTTACTGCTACCTTTCGCCTTCGGCAAAAGTCGCAAGCGGCAGATGCGCGCTGGGATCTACGTTGAGATGTTTTCATGATGGCGGGACGGGTGTTGACGGGCCGTGGCTGAAGGAGGATGATGGTCCGCTCACCAGGGGAGGTGAGGTGAGATATTTTGAAGATGACATAAGCGGACAGACACATCCCGCCACTCCACCTCAAAGTAAGGTAAGGTATACTTTTGAATTTTATCATGTCAGACTGCCGTCTAATATTGATGCGATTTTGGTAAATTATTTCCCTGCAATTTGGATTTGAATAGATCACAGGAGACTGGTGTATCCTCTAAGTTGGTACAACAGCAGTTCGATGCTTCCGAATTCTAAAGCTAATGGCCGCGAAGTGAGCCCAGCTATACAGGATTACCGATGCGCTCTAAAGCGCCTGAACAATCACAATCAGCGCGTTCGAGAAGTCCAATATCAGAGAAAGACTGAAATAAGCAAAACTACCGTTCTGCAGTGATTCGTTCCACAACTTGAGCACGAAACTACCTACGTACGTTAGGATGTATGAAGCTGGGGCTTTGACCAAGTTGCAAGCGAAGAGCCCGAGAGTGGGGTCAGTTCAACCAGCCAGTGCACAGTGCCTTGGGCCATTTGGCTTAGCCTGTAGGAAAATATTCGAAACCATCCTCCACTTCAAGGAATGATTGCTCGGTAATTAATTTCCTTTTAGCTTTAAACCTTCCTTACCAACGCGGCGATAAACAACTTTATCTCAGCCCTATCGTTATCCTATTTAGGATGGTTTTCATTGTCTAGTGCCATGTGAATGAATAATCGTGATTCCAGCTTCGCAATTGCGTCTCTTACTGTGTATCCTGAAACAGATGGGATTTAACCTCAATTTCTACTTCACTTCTATTTGTCTATTCTTTCCATTTTAGTCAAACATGTAGTAAGCCACGTACCAGACAGAAATTAAATAGCATGCCTGTTATCGAAGTCATCCTCAACCAAACGCACTCCTTCAATAACCCTTCCCATATCCGTCTTGTCAATAGTCCCACAGTCCTGCCTGACCTTTTCCAAAAGCTCCTTCAGAAACATCGCAGGGCTCTTGGTAAAACCACATTGACTCCCACTACCACCAACAGCATCGTCATCCAGCCTGTCCCATGCTAAACAAAGCAAGTCACAGACAAGCTTGTAGTCGTCATAAGACGACAGATAGAGCTGCCCAGAAAAGAGATTGAGAAACGTAATGATGTCTCTCGGTATCTCCTCCACGACCTTCTTCCCCACGGAATACAGCTGAAGGTCATCCACCGGTCGAAAGGCAAGATTGACCCTTGGCGCGTAAAGGTGGAGAGCAACATGTTCTGACTCTTCGATAAGCGGAAGAAAGTGCTGTGCCTCAAATGGGCTTATAACCACCATTCGAGAAGCACCCTCTTCGTTCTTACCAACCAACACCCACTGTACAGGACGTTGATAAGAGTCCGAGTAGCTCTTCCCACCAAACGAACCTTTGACAGTATGCGCAAAGTCCATACTCACCCATACCGTCTCAGGGAACTCCTTGATATCGAAGTGGACAGCTGCCGAAGTTTTGTTCAGACTTTGGAACGCGGGTTTCATCACAGCTCGAAAGGCGGTGGAGGACTCTGGGAATGAGCCGTCTACTATCCACTTCTGTAGAAGCCTGTTGACACTATGGGTGTCGGGCTTCAGGGCAGGAACCTTTTCGACCTGACGCTCGTGCTGTGTTTCTGGCGCCAGCTCTCGTTCTTGTTCCTCCTGCAGAGAGAAAATACGTAGTCTTTCCAGACCAAATTCTTCGCATCGGGACTTGAAGACCTTTGCGGAGGAGTCATTCAGCCCTTCTGTGAGTGAAGAAAGGTCGGCCAGACCTTTCTGGGGAAGATATCTTTCCCTCAAGCTCTGTCCCTCCTCTTCGAGAAACTCATCTGGCTTGGTGTTATCATCAGAAAGGCGGGACCAGAGGGCTTCTTGTTTGGAGAACCTAACACCCTGCGTAAGCCACAGCGGCATAGCCCTCTTCAGGTCAAGACATGTCTCAGTGATAGCCCAGCAGAGGACATCAGAAACAGAGATACCTTCCCTGCCAGGGGCATCTTCACCCTTGAGTTGAACAATCTTGTGCTCAATCTCCCACGGAATGCAGAACTCCACTGTCTGTCCCTTACCCAGCTTGCGCATCCGCATACAAGCTTGAACCAACCTATCTTTTGTCAGACCAGCACCCAGAGTGACTACAGCACGATAGTTGGCGGGAAGCTTCAGATCCGTTCCGCGGGTATGTGCCTCATCCAGAAAGACGAGACATAGATCCAGCTGCTGGGAGAACGGGGAGGTCTGGAAGTCTTCGATCTTGCCTGAACGGTCGATAACGACAATTTCGTCGCTATCATTGAAGAATACCACAGATTGAGTGGAATCCTGATCCTGATAGCAGGCTAACCATTGCTTAGCAAACTCCTGGTTGGTAAGATCAACGACTTGGGCGCCAACGTCGAGAATGACTCGGGTATTAGGGCTCATGTTGGATACCATCTGCAAAAGAAGACTGCTATCGAAAGTTGTACCCTTTGCCTCTTGGGGCATCAATGAGATTCCATTCTGTGGCTGGAGTAGATATTCTAGAACAAGAGCGTTTGTATGCTTCTGCTCAGGGAGGTCGAGCTGCTTCATATCGAGTGGTAGAACATATCGCGAGTCGTTGGTTCCGCTGAATCCTGTAGTAGGGTTATACTTCTTCTTACCTAGGTCCCAACCTGAAGCCGACAGCTTGTGAGGGAATTCCTTGGACTCTTTTGCGAATACTAGATGACACAAGTAGTAATCAACCGCCGCTTTAGAGAATCGTATATGGGGAAAGATTTCAGTAGTGCACTGCACCCGGTCCCTCAAGTTGACTCCTTCCAAGCTCCTGAAGGCTTGTGGTAGCGGTGGTGCAGTCTTGACCCAGCCCTGATACTCCTGCGCAGCATTGTCCGATCGACTAAGTAGCTCAAATGCCGCGAATAAAGCGTCGTCGTCGAGACCACTGTAGTAATAACTCAGACAGGTGAGCGTGATCACCACGTCAGGATGACTAAACTCCGATCGAGGTGATGGGTTATCCTTTGCCCGGAAAGGAACTGCCAGTTTGGTCATCTTCTCCCTGTTGTGGTCCAAACCGTAGTTAACTCTCCACCGTTTACTTCCTAGTGCGAAGGAAAGAATTCCCCCGGCGAAGAGTCCCCGGAGAAGGAGTATATTTCTACTCACTGTTTCGCTCCAGAGGGAACTTTTCTCCACAGCCTCGATGTCGGAAGCTGTTGGCTCAGGCTGAGAGATGTATCGTTTTACTGCATCTCGGATCCGTCTGGGTTGGCGTGCGATGGGGAAACCGGATATACCAGTATCGCATACTGACTCGGTGACACGTTTGAAGATTTCAGCTTCGGCATCGGGTCGTAGAATTCGTAGGCTAGGATATCTCCCGATATGCCGGGCGTCAAATTCGATGGAATGCGGGTACTTGGACTTTATCTCGGGGCCGAACTTGGCAATGAGGCCCATGACTTCCTGGATGACAACCCATCTGTCGGGGCTATTTTCAATTGGCCGTTGCTTTCCAAGAGTGTAGATGAGTTCGAACTTGACACTGAAATTCTCATCACTCTCGTCAACTATATCTCGAGAGGAACGGTCAAAGAGATTTCTTGTCTGCGACATTGCTTCGGCCACTTCCAAGTCTCCGCGGATTCGAGATTCCACCTCCATCAATTGGAACGAAAGCAAATGCTCTGGCTGAACCATCAATACACCACCCTCCTGGGTGCATCGTTTCATGAGACACTGGATGGCATCTGCAGTTTGTAGATCCATCTTGGTGTCTCGGGAGAACGGAAGCATATACACCGGCCGATCAAGGAGTCCTGATAACTTGGAGATCAACATCTGATGCATCTGCTTAGCCTGTGGCTTTGCGACAATGACTCGAACAAGCTTTGTCCCATCTCCAAGAGCTGTGGCGACAATTGGCACGATGACTGTTGACTTTCCTTCGCCCATGTTGAGCTGCATCACTGAGTTCTTGTTATCAGGAGGCATGATCATCTGCTCAGCGATCTGCTGCTGTACATCGCGGATCATGATCTCACTTTCGCATTCCAATAATAGCCATTCTGGATGGTCAAAGGGACACCAGCTTTGATGGCCACCATTTTCAAGTTCACGAATGAGATCGACGTGACTGGACTGGAATCGAATTAGACGTTTGGCTCGTTGTAATGAAGTGATCGCAGTTCCGTAGTGTATCAGGCTATCTCTCCATCCAGCAGAAATTGTCTTCCATTGGGCTGGTATGAGTTGCTGCAGGATTTGAGTGGGTGACATCCTAGGAAGGAATCCAGCTTCTTCAAGGACAGTATACATCGCGTGTGAGACTTTACTTGAAGACGAGAGGGAAGAGAGCAGAGTATCATGCAGCTTTGTTAGGTGAGACTCGCATCTCTCCAAGTGGTCTTGAAGTAGGCTTGGGAGCTTTCGAAGCTGTTGCTCCTTCAGCTCAGATTCGACATGGCCATGCAAACTCGAAAGACTATCCTTCAGCTCTCTCAAATACCTGTGCTCATATTCAAGCTTCGCTTTGGTATCAAGGTTGTCAATGATACCACTGAGCTTGTTGCTCTGTCTGTCCCTCTCTGAGTTCACCAGAAGTCGATCTAAGGCTGGAGGAGTCTTATGATGCAAGATGCCTAAGGACGAGAAGAGATTTGACGTAGCCACAAATCTTGACACTGGTCTGCTGGTGCGTATCAGCGTCCTTGGTAGTACTGGCGACACCTGTATGAACTCGCCCGGTACGTCTTCTCTCATGTAGCCAGCTATTATATCCAGATGCTTCCTCAGGCGAAGGTTCTTCAGCCACTGGTTCCACTTTCCAAGGGCACTTTCCATGGCAGGTCCCATCCTAATATACGACGTCAACTCCATGTATGGATCTGACGGCGTTTTCGGATCCTCAGAAGGCCATTGCCGTTGCAGGTGTTTCACAAACGTATCTATGGCTTTAGCGCTTCTCTTTCTGTAGTCGTCTCTACGCCGATTTCCAACGTCGCTGCTTCTCTCATCGAAACGACGGGCAGATATGGCATCAGGGCTGCTGGCGTAACTGACTATATATGGTGCTATCGCGGCTCGCAAGTCCTCTTCTCGAATTTGGCAGCCGGCTGTTAGGTTGTATGAAGATGCCCCGAGCAGTTTGCAGTCAGCCATTGATCGGAACTGGGTGAGCAATAGCAGCGCCTGGCCAACCTGAGGATCGTACTCTGAGGAATATGACATTGTGGCCATCCACATCATCAGCTCGTACTTGTCGAACCAGGTGACTGACTTCTTGTATGAATTGTGAAGCTGGAACCATACAGACGATAGATATGATTCTGGGCCTTGTAGCCAAGATGAGTCGTAGTCGATTCTGCTTTTAGGCAAAATCTCCTTGGTGTGGACACGTTCGTCGCCACTCATGAGACTGAAGAGAAGGTGGCCAAGCCTACCAGATACTGGTCTTGAAAGGGTGCAAGACTTGTTGTAGACTCGGTACGCCATCTCCACGGTGCGTGTAGACCTTTCGAGTGATTTGCTCTTCTCCCTTGACACGTATCTGATATCATGTTTTGTAGTAAAGTCTTCTGCACCAAAGCCAGACACTCGAGTTCCAGATGCCCGAAGAATGGCGCGATCTACCAACTCATCTATCGAGCGGTGTTGGTCCATGCTTGGGACAGGGTTTTTGAGAAACAGGAACTGAACTTCGCGATATTTGCTCAAGATATTTCGAACTTCTTTCCCATATCTGTCATCTTGGATGGTGTAGCTCAGGTCATTCCGCCACCGGACCCTCTGCATCTCTCGTCGATCAGCGGGATAGTATGATCGCTTTGGTGATAATTGGGCAATGTTCGACAAAATTGTATACGTCGATTCTGAGAATGCCGTAGGAGCTCTGACTGAGGCGGAACCAAGGATAGTGAGAGCCTCCTCGGTTCCAGTGCGCTGGAGGAAGGGATCCGGGAGGCAGTAGGATGTCAGAGCGTGGAGGTATGCAAGATACAGCTTGCTTTCTACCTTATCATTGGGTACGATCCTGCGAAGTAGGGGATCTAGCCTGTAAGTTTGAACTCGACTAGCTGTCTCACGATCAAGAGAAACTTCGGCGTGGTTCTCGACCCCGGAATCAGTAGACATTCGGCAGCTAACATCTCCCTCAGGTATGATGACGGACCTGATTTGAGAGTCATGGAAACTTCGCAGAACAAGTTTGTTCTCAAGTCCGATGAGGGTTCCAATGGCTTGGTTTTGATCAACCTCCATATCTCGGAATTGTCGAGACTTGATGTTGGATGTCCCCGACCTGATCGTGAACTGAAGGTGGAGCTTTGGTAGCTGAACCTCAAGCTCCTTGCTTTGTTGGTGTAGAACCAGATGTAAGGCCGAGGCCGGCTGAAGTGGTGAGAAGATACGGGAGATTCTCCGTCCAAGCTCACTCCATGGACATACAAGCACACTTTCTTTACCAAGTGATAACTGCCATGTGTCACTTTCCTTTCGTAAGTGCCAACTCTCCTTCTTCATGCTTGGCCAAGGATCATCGACGTGGCAGAACCTAATCTCTCCCGACACTTCCTCACGCCAATGCACGTGATTATCGGTGAAGTCATCAGGAAGTAGACCTTGGAGGTTCCTTGATGGTACCAATTCCAACGTCGAGCCGTTCTTGGTAAGACTTACAAGAAGGTCATCAACGCCCTTTTTTGTTTGCACACCAAGATGAACCGTGTACCCGTGGAACATCTTCGTAGCGCAGAAGCTCATACCAGGCATGTCGCTCGGCATGACTTCCATTGTAGCTGATCCGAATAGTTTCTGATACTCTCGGTGAGTCTCATAACGTTGCGGAAGTCGTGAAACAGGCGATCCATTGACCAATAACTGTCCTGTGAGAAGGCTGACATGAACTTGGAGGTTTCCAGTGATTTCCGTAACCCAGTGATCAGAGATCAAGGACCATTCACCCTGTCGCGCGAAGTCAGGCCATCGTCGTCTAATGGCTGTATCGAGACATAAGTTCCCCCGAGAGACTATCACGTTGACTAGGATAGGAAGGGCTCTATGCATCGTGACTTTATATCGGTCGAGCATAATGCCATATAGCGCATCCTCCTGCAGTTGTTGAAAGTCGGCGTTATTATGGATGATAATCGAGATTTCCAACAGTATCGCCGCTTGCTGTTCATCAGTCAATACCTGTTCAAAGTGGTCGCCCTCCAAATTGAACGTCTCGATGCAGACAAGGGCAATCTGCACTGCTGCCTCGAGAAATTCCTCCCGTTGGGTGCGATGCTCAATATCCTGGACCTTGCACAATAGGTGCATCACCCATTTGTAAGAGATCCCTCGGCACTTTGCGATGAGTTCTAGAATTTGTGCTGACAGGGACTTGTCAGCTAGAGCAAGTAGCCTGGTGGCCAAGCAGGTGAACGAGCACAGCGAGGTGTACGACTCCCAATTCTCCTGAACCCTTGACACGCTCTCACTCAAGTACTTCAGAATCTGAGAACCGAATTTCATCTCTGTCGGTCGAGTATGCGCATATCTTGTCGGCTCATGCTCATAAAACGGCCCAGCTTGCAACATCATCTGGAGTAGAAACAATGCAGTCTCTGGCTTATTGAAGTCTACCGTCGGCATAGCAAGCTGTGTAAGGATGTTTATCCACTGAAGGCGATATCCGTATGGTAAAACAGCCAAAGCCTTGAACTCGCCGAGCGACATGTACTCTGGACACTCAGATTGGCTCGCGATGGCCTGATTGGGTGTTTCTCCGTTCTCACAAAGCCATGTTCGAGCGAAGAATCTTTGCAAGGCATGAGCTCTCGCAGGGAGTTTGATGGTACAGCGCTTTGAGATCTCTGTCGTTGGCTTGAAGGTAGACAGGAAGGTATTCCTAGAACTATCGTGATATTGAAAACGAAGGCCGTTGTTAAGACAGACATCAGCCTCAGTAGAGGTTTCGATAGATTTCTGATTGCGGTGTGTTTGAGAGTGTGGTTTAATTTCAGAGAGTAGTTGCACTCTATGCCGCAGGGATTCACACCAAGAACTGAGGGGTTTATACGTCGCCAAGGGAAAGGATGCACGTGGGTAGTCACCCGCGCTTGAAGATTCAAATTTCAGGATGTTATCCAGGAAGTAAACCGTAGCATCTCGCCATACAGCAAAACTGACGGGTACATCCATTTCAAAGACAGACGTTTGAGCCTCGAGCTCATCTGCTGGGAAAGGCCACTCATGAGGGCTGAATTTGAGCTTCTTTGCCTTGGCAGGGAGAGCACAGCGCGCGCATTTGTTCTTGGTATGAACGTAATACTCCACGTCGTGTTCAACTTGGAGGACCTTCTCACATTGCATGTCGTCGCACTTCTTCATGATATCGTCGTACTTTGCTTTGAGTTTCCGGAACTGCTGTAGCTTCTTATCGCGGTCGATCTGTGCACTGCGCTCGATCTGTTCTTTCTTCTCTTGGAGCTTTGGGGATTGTCGAAAGTACTCAACGGCGAAAGAAAGTCTCTGACCGTATGAGAGAAGTGCTGATAGCTTTAGTTTTCCGGAAGAATCATCGAGGTACTCTTCCAGCCGATGGAGTCTCTCCATGTCTTTCTTCGAATGGACCAAGAGATCGCTGAAGACCTCGCGAGGGATCTCATTTCGATACTTCAACATCAAAGGGTTGTGGTGGACGGCCATCTTATCAATAGCTACCCAGATCTCACCGAGAGTAAGGAGCATCTTCGACATTCTCTCGGGGCGTCCGGTGTACCATCTTTCCGCAGAAATATGGTAGTGCTCAAGCAGTGTGTTCAGACTGTGGCATGATTGATCGTTGTTTAAGTGATGTTGAAGCCATGTGCTGAGGTTGTTCTCTACCCAGGCCTCGACAGCTGCGAGCTCGATAGATATGTTGTCATTGTTAACAGAACCATTGATTCCAGGGAGAGTAAGAGGGTCTAGTGCCAAAGCCATTGGCTTCGCCTTGAACTCTTTAGTTGTTGATAGTTGTTGCCGCCTGGGGATAGTCGCGAGGAAGGTATCGAGTTCAGGCAACGAGAAGTCGGTATGCTCTTCGAACTTGAACTCAGCTAGGACACCGAGATCAAGTTGCTGTTCGTTTCGTTGCTGAATCTGGATCCATCTCTCCTTCAACATTTTAGAAGCCAATGAGACGATATTCTTGATAGCATGAAGCCATGGCCCATCCTCAATATCCCCAAGCTTGCAAAGCCGTCTTGAGATCTTGGCCATCATCAAATGAATGACCTCACTAGACGACGACTTTTCACTGGCAAGCTGAAGAGCTTGAGCTATCAAGAACACCATAAAGCGCTTGTAAAGCTCCTGTGATCCTTGTGGATGGCGCACCATGGTGAGCTGAAGTCCCACGCGGAGAAGAATCCACAGCGGAGATCTCGTCCATGGATCTCTACTGTTATTCCACGAAACTTCTTCACGGGTCCTCTTCTGAACCGCTTTGATCTCAGTAGGTGTCCCAGCACCTCGCAGAAAGCTTGTCAGCAGCTCGGTGACGATACGAGGATCTGTTGTGTCGCGCTCCTCAGTGTGCATCTGCTGCGCTTTCTTCACTTTGGGCTGCATTTCTGCTACGGCCTGATGACTCATTTTGACAAGAGTTTTAGCCAAGACCTCTTGGAAGCAGGAATCGTTGAAGTCTTTGGCGGAGACTTCTGTCGCGGTGGCAGGGAACTCGCGAATAAGACGACCTCTCGTTACCATAGCTGCCCTGTTGGTAGGCGAGAGTTCAAATGTCTCGAACGAGTATGAGCTCTCTAATCGTCGAATAATCAAGCCTGCATTTTGCTCGGTGATATGATACATTGAGGCGGCGTCCGCTGTTCATGCGTCAGTAGTGTGATCGGTCAAGGTTTGCTACAAAACTTACCCTCTTCTGAAAGTCTCTTGAAGGAGTTCTGGACACTTCTAGAATCCAGATAAAGGTTCGAATCTCGAGCATCCCGGGTGTTCTTCAGCAGAGAGATACAGTGGTTTGTTACAGCGTTGTCATCTTCGCCAGATAATTCCTTGAAGCGTTCCAGGTACCGTATTACGAAGTTGATGAGGAATTCTTCGTTTGATGCCAAAGTATCATCGTGTCCTGGCAACTTGGATGGTAGGATGAGGTGATGAAAAAGGTAGTCGAGTTGATCGTTTGTGCAGGACAATGCCTGCACTGGAGTCTGGTGAGATTCGTCCATTTTGAAGAGATGGGAGATGTCGAGTTTCTTGTAGGGGAAGAATGTTGTCAAGGAAGTGGGGGAGAGGTTGGACTTTTTATGGTATGATTCAGAGTAGTAAAGTATGTTGTGAAAGGTTTAGGTGTTAATGTAAATGTTTGCTTAATACATGCTATGCCGTTGTGGGTTCTACAATATGTAAATTTCGGATGCCGTCGTGATTATTGGTTGAAGAAGAAAGTAAACTTTGTTCACATCGAGAAAGGATTCAAACTGGAATATAGACTTTCGAGTGGCCAATAGCAAAATGGATTAAACACTGTTAATATTGGTCCAAAGATATATCCCAGAACTCGAGTGTCCTTAATTTTACTGCTTCTAGTTGAGGTGTACTGCAAATTATCTGTTTTATACCTGGGAATATATCGCCTTACTAAATTTATAAACAGTATAAACGTGACCTGTAGAGTCTATTATACGAGAAGCCATTTGTTTTAATTTTTGAATATTATTTAGTGATGTTATACACTCGATTTTCACAAATACTTTCGTGACTCGGTACCAAAGTTTCAAGATAGAGTTTAGCGTAGAGTGTCAGAATCGCGGTGCCTGGCGCCGATCTCCCGCGTGCCAGCCTGACTCCATATCTCCTTGAGACTGTTGTCTCCTAAGTCTGCACGTGGGTGCGCAACACAATGCAGCAGCGAGTATTTCTTTGGCACGTTGACATTTCCCTATTGAACCGCCCCCCTGGCCAAAGGGGCACGGCCTCGTCGAAACCAGCAGAAAAGCATGTGCAAATCTCCCCAGAACTGCAGTCTCGGGCCCGGGAACATCTTCCGTCCGTCTACGTCACACCAGGGATAATTGCAGCACAGCGCAGCGTGGCATGCCCAGACGCCAATAAATTAGGCTACAGAATAACTCTGATAGGCACCAGAATACACTGCAGTCTGCAGAGGCATCCAATTACGCGTCCCAATTTCATGATATCCCTCTTCATCTCGGTTACATTCTGGCTACTCCTATCGCTTTTGGGCAGGGATGCAATGCACGTCCTGAGGCCCGGATGCAGCGGGGCCTCACATCATTTGAAGGTGGCTTGATGTATCAGCTCAGCATGCCGTGCGATTAAAAGGGTTGCTTTGACCGCTTAATCTCGTGTTCAACCATCCGTTCTTCTTCCCTTCATCTCATACGTATATGGGCGAAAGAGTCTGTGACCATGGCCTTGAAGCAGAATGGAGGTGCTCATTTGAGTAGCGATATTGACTTTATCGCGACACCCAAAGCGCCCGCTGACGTGCTCTCTACCGGCAAGAATCCGGGCGTTCCTTTGACCAATGCAAGTTGTCGCGCGGATTTGTGTGCATCATGTCATATCTGCTAATTACTGCGAATAGTCTCCCGCTATCAAAAACGCTCCGCTCCCCGCCGACGGCCCCGGATACGAACAATGGTCCAACATCTTCCTCGGCGTCGCCCTCTACGGCGTTCCCCAATGGCTATCATGGAAACTCGGCGGTGGTCTCAAACTTGCTCTTTTCCTCGCCATCTTCACCACTGTCCCTGTATTGATCGTCATTTGGACTTTCATGTCCAAATTGAGCCCGCGAATCAACGACAAAGTCCGTCTTCCTGGCCGACCGATCGAGTTCTACCTCACCTTCAAAACGGACCAGCTTCGCGCGCGATACACAGGCCGCCATAAAGTCCCCATGAATAAATTCTTTGAACTCTATTTCACAGGCCAAGTCGATCTTAACGCCGACGCTCTCGAGATATTAGAGTATCGCCATGACTGGGCGACGTTTAATTTCACCAGCGAGACATTTAATTATCTTCTATTCAATTTTTTCCCCGATGTCATTCTTCACTTGCGCTCGCAGGACGAAGAGCAAGTTCGCACCAATTACGATAGCGGAAATGATCATTACGCTTGGTTCCTCGGCCCACGAATGATCTATACCTCTGGTATCATCTCAGACCCTGACCGCGAGGAAACGCTTGAAGAAATGCAGGACAACAAACTCGCCATCGTCTGCGAGAAAATCAACATCAAGCCCGGCGACCGAGTTCTCGACATTGGCTGCGGATGGGGCACCTTGGCCAAATTCGCCAGCTTGAACTACGGCGCGCACGTCACGGGTGTAACTCTGGCGAGAAATCAGGTTGAGTGGGGAAACGATGGTTTAAGAAAAGCAGGCGTTGGCGAAGAGCAGAGTCGGCTTTTATGCTGTGACTATCGCGATATTCCTGAGCAAAAGTTTGACAAGATCACGCAGCTTGAGATGGCGGAGCATGTTGGCGTGAGGCGCTTGACGGGGTTCTTTCGGCAGTGCTATGACATGCTGGAGGATGATGGGGCCATGTATGTGCAGCTGTCGGGATTGCGCAAGGCATGGCAGTATGAGGATTTCATTTGGGGTTTATTTCTGAACAAGTATATCTTTCCTGGCGCTGATGCATCGACGCCGTTATCGTTTTATGTTGGATGTCTTGAAAGCGCTGGATTCGAGGTCAAGAGGTACGTGATCTGACGTTTTTGAAGGTATCTACTAACTGGCTCAGTGTTGACACTGTTGGCGTTCATTATTCCGGCACTCTTTGGCGATGGTATAGAAACTGGCTCGGAAATGCCGAAAAGGTCAAAGCCAAATATGGCGTTCGATGGTTCCGAGTATGTACCTCCAGCTATTCACTTTATGGCAAAATAGCTGACTTGAGCAGATCTGGGAGATTTTCCTGGCTTATTCCACCATCGCATCCCGTCAAGGCTCGGCTACTTGTTTCCAGATCGTAGTTGTCAAGAACCTCAACTTGACTCAGCGCATTAACGGTGTCTATTCTCAGTATGGTCTGCATGGTGCTCTGGAGGTGGCTCGGGCTGCTGGAAAGGCTGTCCTGCCTAAGTGAGAGTACTCGCTTGGGTGAAGTGGGAATCAATGGAATGAAGAAGCTTGCGAATTGAGTCTCTGTCAGTAGTTGGCGTGCTTATTTCCTGAATAGCTATTGTGGTGTTGCTTCACTATGACGGAGTTGGTAGTTGGAGAATCATTATCTTGATTTTATTAATTTTAACCACCTTTTCCTGCATATAATATAGCAGAAACTACTTTTGTAAACTGAGAAAAACCAAACCCGCATGAGATAGCCAGTAATCAACAAGGTTTGCCAGTCATTAGTTGATAGCAGCATAGAGACCAAAAACCCCTCCAGCCCCGATGAGAACAGCCCTCACGAGGTTCAACCACCGGAACCTCTCCAGCAACTCATGAACCTTCTTGTCTTCCTCTGCTGTGGACTCCCTCTCCGTTTGTTCCTGAGGACCGCTCAAGTCTGCGAACTCAAAGCCTTCATCCGTTCCTTTAACAGACTCCCAAGCACTTCTATCAGTCGATATACTACCCTCAGCTGCTTTCTCACTCCTCGCTCCACCGAGTCTATTATTCTCCTCAATAAGAGCAAAGTTTGTCGGAATCATGAGCTGAGTAAACGGTGCGATGCTAAATGCTAGAGCCGCTGCGGTTAAGAATGTGTTGGTTTTGGGACTGTTTTTTGAGAAGGCGAAGAGGGATCCAGAGCCTGTTAAGTTGTTGGAAGATGCTGAGTAGATAAAGCCAATGGTTGACAGAAGTGAGGCTGATGGGAAGACATGTGACCCGCGACTGAAGAGCCATCGGATGGAAGGTAGAGATCGAGAGGCAGGCTGAGATTGAAGCTCCGGGACGTCGAAGAATGTCAGGGTGGCGATTCCACCTGACGCCATCAAGGCAGTGGAGATGGAGATGATTTCAACTGTCGACATGTTTGTGCAAAGGTAGACTGAATGATAGTTTATAATATTGGCATTGTCAGGGTCAGTCTTCAACCTTTTGACTCTATATCTATGTTCTGCGGTTTATGGATGACGTAATGTGCCTTTGGCCATGACGCTTGTATATAGATGCCGGCCTTTGGCAGGTTTCCGGAACCCGCGACGATTGTCCGTCTTGAAATCAAATTCCTAGTCCAAAAAGTGTTTGATTTGTAGGAACTCGCCCGGTAACTTCTACTAGGTTCATCATACATTGCCAACACAATATGTGTGTGCATCATCATAGATCGACCTTGACAGCAGCAATATGCTGTGAATAAAACCCAGTGACAAACAACCAACCCTTCTTCTTCCCCCCCTCAAGCTTTGGATCAATTCCAATCAACACAGCTGTAGCTGCAGATCTCAGTCTTTTTCCATCATCTTCAAACAGGATCTTGTTCTCCCACTTTCCATTCTTTCGCTGAGCAAGCCATACCGTCACTGGTTCAGTGGCGGTGTCGATGCCAATGCTATTTGCAAGCTCACAGGCCTTTGAAAGACCAGCTGAGACATAGCCACTGCTGTCGTTATCTCCACTAGCAAAGGGATCGCTGTAGTAGAAGGGGTTGTCGACGGCTGTGTCGAATGGGATTGTTTCTAGGACTTGGATGGTATGGTCCGGCTTGACGGTGGATATGTGGATGTCTCCGCTGGCTGCACTGCCAATGGCAATTTCGTTGGGAGTTCTCCCGTGACCAAGACCGTTGTTGTTATGGAGGCCTGTCAGAGCGACGGAAGCAATGAACCCAGCTGTTGAGTCCTTGGAGGCGGTATCGGTGATTTCAACGTAGATTGTGTTTGACCATTTGGCGCCATAGTACATATCCTCAACTTGTCGCATAAGACCCTCGCGGTAATGATGATCGTTCGTGACATAGAAGCTTGTCGAGGACAGAGCAACAATGTCGTTTGGAGTCTGGATCAAAGGATGGCTAATGGATCGAACATACTTGACCGAAGAAGACCCAACACGATGATAGAAGATCTCAATCTGAGAAGCTGCTTTGTTTCCGCCAAACGCCTCCTTCTTCCCATCGACAACATGTTGAGCATACTCGGGATTGGGAAGATGATTCACGGCAAAAATATAAACTCCATCCTTATTCTTAGGATCAGCAATAACATCAATTCCATGCGTGATAAACGGTTCCTGAAAGGTCTCAAATTCCAGTCTTTTCGACTTGAACGTCTTGGGGTCTATGACGTGGATAGACCCACGCGACTTGCTAGCCGTGAGGGGATCGTGCAAAACGCCCAGACCAGGAAACCACGAGAACCGCGGGGCGTAGGAATCTTCACACGCTGTGTAGAGTAAACCAGAGTGAAGATGCACGTCCTCACAGACAATTGTATCGTCAATGGTTATAAAATCTGCATCCGAGACGATAGTGGACGATGGAGTGCGGAAGAAGCCGAGAACGGTTGTGACACGATTAATAGGGCGGGCGAGAAAAACACCTAGACCTATAGTGAGGGCTGATACAACCAAGGCCTTTGGACCGACTGTAGAAGACTTTGACGCCATTTTGGAATTGTTCGATGGGAAGGAGAAGAATTGGGCTTCCCCAGTTCCACGAGGGTGATCTTCATGATAAATGAGGGGGACGTGGAAACAGCTAGACTTTTTGCCGAGGTCCGAATTTGAGGTTAGTTCGTCAACTGAAAAGCAAGACTTGTCTCATTTAGGTCGAATAAGAGCATCGTGATTGGCATTGGGCATGCGATATACGAAGGATTGGAGTTAGCGATGCATATAAGCTGAAACTGAATCCCATAGGTGGAGCTGGAAGATTTAGGTAAGCTGACGTTGAATACTAGACAGGGATTTATGTAATAACTGCGAGATCCGGTGTCGCAAATATTGAGTCACCATTGGCCATGTATAGCAGGAGATTGTACGACCTAGGGTCAGAGAGGATATAAGTCGGAAAGCTGTTCCGTCGTTGCAATCATTGCGTGCACTTGTGATGACTAGAGTTCGGCTCCGTGGATCCTTTGCGGCGCAGCGATCAAACACTGTGGCCTGGGACATTTGATTGGACCAAGAGTAATTATCAGATGCCCATAAACGTATTTCGGGATTTGGGACATTGTCCGAAGCTGATGAATGGAGTTAACCTGAAGATGCGTCAGTGAATGTTAGATCCACTCTGTTGCTGATATTGCGCAGGCACAGGCTATTGAATATAACGTGAGACCAAAGCGAAGAGATCCCTTGAGCAATCATGACCGGTATCTTGGCACCTCTGACTGCCATCATCTGAGTTCCAAGTTCTCTCTGCTGACTCGAGGTCTCAGCACGAGTCATCTTTGCTTTGTGATCCCAGCCACGTTTGCCAGTTGAACTCCAAGGTGACGTTAAAATGGCACAAGTAGGTAATATTTCGATTTATTTCTAATGTTTCCTAATGATGCTCCCTCCAAGCGATGACAAGATCTGAAACCGGTGGCTGCATGGTTCTATTTATAAGGGCTGAAACATATAGAGCACTTAGTCTTGAGCCTCAACATGGTCACGAGGTCCAATCAATCAATCGAGAATTACTAAGCTATCGATAGTAATTAATTGCACAATAAACTTGGAGATTGACGTCAAACGTTACAGTGTTGGGCTATACCCTTTGTGACATAATTCGCGATATGGCGTGCTCAACGGTTCCATACAGGGCGCTTATCGACCTGTCAACGGTCGGGAAATGCACACAATAAGGGAGAACTATTAGGTATGCTATTTAAACGGAGATAAGGGAGTCAAAAACGGACAAGATGTCTTGATAATCGTAACACTCGATGGATGTTCCGGATCAAACCGTGTTGATTGAGTGGTGTTGAGGGGTTTTATATTCAGCGCTCAATCCCAAAGAGACTGATTCAACTGCTCCAAATTATTGCCAATTAAGGTACTTTAATCAGTCGACTGCGTTTTTGCAGTGGTAGTCTCGCCGATACTGTAACAATGAGTCCTTTCCTCAATGGTGATCGATCACCTTCACCCGAAGAGCCAACCAAGTTCGGCCCCGACATCAAAGTGGCAGTAATCGGCGCCGGTGTCAGCGGAATCTGCGCAGCAGCATATCTCCTCAAAGAAGGTGCCGATGTCACTGTATTCGAGCGATCTGGCGTCACATCTGGAGTATGGCACTACGACAGTAGAGCAGCGAGTACAGACTACCCCAGCGAGAAGCCCTCTGCCGGCGACTATGTGACTTCACTCCCAGGCCAATTCTCATCAAACCGAACCAAAGACGGAAGTGCTGCTCATCCCCTCGAGGCAAAAGACAGGGACGATCTCGACGTTGCATTCTCTCCTCCCGGCCCCGCTTATTTCGGTCTCCGAAACAACGTCCCTACAAGTCTACTCTACAGCAATCTTGGTCCATGGCCAAAGGGAACTGAGGATATCACCGGTCATGAAAATATTCAAAGCTACCTCCAGGGTCTTAGTAAGAAATTCGGCGTCGACGATGCAACAGTTTTTCATACGCGTGTTGAAGACGCCAAAAAGAGCGACGATGATAACCACTGGGATATCCGAACAATAACTCTCCTCAAGGGAAATGGCAAGCCTACAATCATCGAGCGCAATTGGGAATTTGATGCTGTCGTGGTATCAACGGGCCATTATAACCTACCTCGCATTCCTAATACCCCTGGTCTTGCTGAATGGAAAGTTCACTTTGGCGACGATGTTATCCATACGAAACAGTATCGCCGCCCGGAGCAGTTTGAGGGGAAGACTGTTCTAGTTGTTGGTGGGGGTGCGTCGGCGTATGATGTTTGTCGTGAAACCAGCGAGACCGCGAAGAGGGTTATTCAGAGCACTAGGGGCGGAGACTTTGATCTACCGCCTTCGATGTTTCCTGGGAGCGTTGAGCATGTTGGAGAGATTGAAAGGTTTGTGTTGGTAAAAGATGGAGAAGCTGGAGAAGTGAAGAGTCGAGTTGTTCTGGGTGATGGAGAGATTCTCGACGATGTTGATGCTGTCGTTTTGGCAACAGGCTATCTAACATCATATCCCTTCCTGGCACAGTATCATCGCGACGATGTATCCGCCAACGACGCAACACGAGATATTCTCATAACCTCGGAGGGAAACATGGTGCACAACCTCCACAAAGACATATTCTACACCGAAGATCCAACTCTCTCATTCATCGGCGTACCATATTACACTGCAACCTTTTCTCTGTTCGATTTCCAAGCACAGGTTCTGGCTCGCGTACTTACTGGGAAGACATCCTTACCAGGTATTCAGTCTCTACGACAGGAATACGATCAGCGTGTTGCGAGCAAGGGACGTGGGAGGAAGTTTCATAGTTTGGCGGGAGATGGTGAAGAGATCGAGTATGTGAGGGATTTACTGGACTGGGCGAATTCTAGTCTCGTTAGTGACGAGATTCAACCGTTGGTTGGGCATTCTAAGGGGTGGTTGGATACGTATAATGAGCAAAGGGAGAAGAGGAAGTTGTTGAGGGTTGCAAAGGGTGCTGAGCCAGAGGGGCTATGGGCGAGGCCTAGTGATCTGGAGAAGGCATAGCGAAGGGTAAAGTCAAGATGGCATGCAGTTTTAATGATTTAACCGTTCACAGAGCAAAGAGATAAAAATATTTTCGTACAAATGAGGATATTGTGAAAAATGCGTGGTGTTTCTGACTTTGGAATTATCATGTCTGGTCGTTGGCTCGGCCGACCTGAGGCAACGGAGATTATGTCGTGGCGTTGTCGGCGAATCATCTCTCATTCACCCGGAGATGCAGTTGAATAAAGTGAGGCTCATGCATCCAAATCCGGCCAGTTTTAATCCAGTCTTTCGCCTCAAATCCAAAACTAGCCTTGATGAGGACATTTTTGGAGGTCCTGGAAGCCTCACGGTTTGGCTTGGCCGATAGTGGGCCCCCAACCACCACGGTGATGATCTTGGGCTACCAGCTGGTGCAAAGCCGTGAATAGACTGGCAGCAGCGTATAAAATCACAAACAATACCAAATCATGCAGGAACTCGTCGGGGAACGCGAGCCGGGCCAGTGTAAAATGCCTCACCGTGCATGGAAACGATCTCACCGGTCACGCGCCATTAGACAAATCGTCGACTATTCCGTGGGGGACTCAACGCAGAGGTTCAAGCAAACCTAGCTGACCAACAAGGTTGCAGCGGCGGGTTAAGCATATTATTTACCTTAATTGAGAATAAGCGTTGGGTCTCGATCCACAGACTGTTAGTGCCAAGATACCTTGATAGTTACCGCGCAGTGGGAACAAGAACCCTGATAGACATGTCATGGCAGAAAACACCGAGGCTAGCAGCACCCTTACCAAATACTGTTGTGTTTTGATTTGCTGGATGTTTGGATATGACGCCACTGGAAAGTCTCTTGACGGGCTCTTTTTGCTAATGCATCGACCGGTTCAACTGTTAAACCTTGTATGAGCCCCCACGATAGGCACCCTAGGGGAGGAAAGAAAACACAGGACCTCGATCCTAAATGACAAAAAGACTTAGGATAATACATTCTAAGTTTAGGATGACTTTTGCTAAGTTTATTTTGACACCTAACAGCAAGGTCCGCTGTTTTCTTGCCCCTCGAGGACACCAAGACTAGGCTATGAAGGATTTTCAGCAGTGAGTAATTGGATTCGACCAGAACCTGGAAACCTGGATGCTACATTAGGCAGAAGAAGAGCTGTATAAATACCATCCAATGCTTCCTGCATAACACTTGTTTCCTCAGCCTCTCAGCCTCATCCGCCAATCCCAGAGCTACTCCTCTACATCCCCAATCAACCGTCAAGATGATGTTCAAGACCACCGCCGTCGCCCTCCTCCTCGGAGCAGCAACCGCCACTCCCATCTTCGGCCGCGCTGAGACCAGCCAAACAAAGTCTGCCCCCCAGGCCACCGCTACCAACAGCGTTTACGACTGGTCTGAGGGCTGGGCTAAGGACTATCCCATTCACCAGTCCTGCAACGCGACGCTCCGTCGCCAGTTGGTCAATGCTCTGGATGAGACTGTTCAGCTAGCTCAGCACGCAAAGGATCATCTCCTCCGATGGGGAAATGAGTCCGAGTTCAAGCAGAAGTACTTTGGTAACGGATCTACTGCTACGCCTATTGGTTGGTATGATCGTGTTATCAATGCCAACAAGGCGGGTATGCTGTTCCGTTGCGATGACCCTGACAAGAACTGCGCCACCCAAGATAGTAAGTCAAAACTATAGACTACATATCAGCATATGACTAACAATTGTAGAATGGGCTGGCCACTGGCGAGGTGACAACGCCACCACCGAGACCGTCATCTGCCCTCTCTCCTTCGAGATCCGCCGCAGCCTCGACTCCGTCTGCGGTCTCGGCTACACCGTCGCCCAATCCAAGCTCAACACCTTCTGGGCTACTGATCTCCTCCACCGCGTCCTCCACGTCCCCACCATCAGCGAGGGTATCGTCGACCACTTCGCCGAGGACTACGCTGAAGCCGTTGAACTCGCCAAGACTGACCCTTCAAAGAGCGTCATCGACAGTGATGCTCTTCAGTACTTCGCCATTGACGTTTACGCCTACGACATTGCTGCTCCTGGTGAGGGATGCACTGGTGAGGCTGAGGAGAAGGAGACTCCTACCAAGGCGGAGTCTGCTAAGCCAAGTGCCACCAAGGAGGCTCCTAAGGAGTGTCACACTCACAGTGATGGTGTTGTGCACTGCTCTTAGAAGAGTGTGAACTGGCTTTCGATTCTAATGATACTTTTTTGATTGCATTGTCGATTGAGCTGAGACCGTTACTGGTATCGTCTTGACGGCAAACGTCTATAATCATTGGATTTTTTCTGTCTTGTGATCTCAATGGAACGTTAATCACGAATGATTCACTTGTTATCAGGACAAGTAGATACAGGTAGATCAATGACTTTGTAGAGGCGACACAACAGGCAACATGACATAATGATAATCAGTACAATTCGCGATCTGTTAAAACAAAGTTGACATTCAGTGCATCCTTCCTGTTTTTCTTTGTAAGAAATAACATACCTCAAGCCTTTTCATCTATCCCAAACTGAAATAAATTCACTGTTCTTAGGAGTTCCCAGTCAGCCTCAAGCTGGACTATAGCCTTTATACCACCCTTCTAAGGTTGATAGATCTTTTCTTAATATAGAAGCTTAATCTCCCAGATATAGCCACTAATGAAGTTACATATGGCATAAATAAATACAGTTAAAATCACATTAAGTTCCCTCAAAGAGGGATTTAAAGTCCTTTCTAAGCAAAATTCTAACCCTGTTTAGAAGCACATCTTTCTAGTAAGTTAGCAACTATTAATGGAATAGAAATCCTAAATCGGCTGCACTTACGGGTCTTAATGCCGACCAAGCAATTCTGTATGTTTTTGATCTCGTTGGAGTCAACAGCATAGATTTCCGACATGCGCTGCCGCCAATAGCCATTCACGAATATCTCGAGAGACCTTGTAGATAGTCTCATGTGCATCATGTATGCTATGAATTCTTCCATTAAGCGCTCCAGAAGGGCAGCGTTCTCTTGTTCACGCTTATGACTTCTGATCTTCTGCCATTTTCTTGGGTCACAATTCATGAGCAAATTAAATTTATCTGGTGATATGTCTGGCCTGTCGATGACAGTGAACTATACTTGTGGTCAGCAAAATCATCATCGCCACTCATTGCGCTGTTACTCTTACTTGACAGCAAGTATGAGTCATTTCTAGAGCCTCGAAAGTTAAAAATCGGATAACTTCATTGCACCAGCCTGTTATGTATGAATCACCTTCTTCGGTGTCTAGAATGACTGTGTGGAAGAAACTGCATAAGACATTTGACTCTAGTTTATTAAAGTCCTTGACGTACGCCTTTAAACCTGTTGTCAATGGCGTGCATCCCTTGTCCGGGGGGGTACACCAGCATCGGCAGTTGTCAAGTAACGGAACCCCGAGGACGCCCTTTGCGTTTCCAGGGTAAAAGCATCTGAGTGGGGGATGAAAATCGGAGCAATATCTCGACAGATAATGCCAGCTAGTAGCCCCGATATTAAGTCCGAGATTAAAGGGGCCTTTTGGTGTCTGTTCCATTATTCTTTGGCTTTCTACCCAATCCATACCCTCCACAACATTTCCATAACCGATCTCGATCCGACGGGGCTCATGGAACAGATGCTGCGTCATGGTCGGTAAAAGTCCAAAGACATTAGGCGCCGATAGATGTGTAAACCCATTTTTGAAAAGAATAGGATAATGGTAAATTGAGGTGCCGCGGAAGTGGTAGATTGTTGTATAGGAGGATGGAACTCTCAGTGCTAGGGGAATGCTGATGCCAGACTTATCAAGGCATGAACAAAGATAGCTTGCTTGGTCATCTGGGATGTCAGAGGTAAGTAGCAAATCTTGGCAAACAACCTGCTGCTGTTGCGCTAGAGAAAGCAAGTCTGATCTTCTTCTAGCTAGGTTAGAAGCAATGACATCCATGCATAGTTCAGAAGCTCTCTGAAAGATACTTTCTGTTTTGTCTCCATAGTTAACTGGGCATCCGGCTTTGAATAGCAGATCTGCGGATTCGATACAATCCGCATTGACAGCAACTTCAAGAGCACTTTCATCCAGCACGCCAACAGCATTTGTGTGCAGAAGCTTTTGAAGGCCCTCTGGCCAACATACACAGAGTCGAACAGTCGTCATGCCGAGTATTTTCTCTGTTACGGCCTCTGGGGACCTTGTAAGAGCTATGTCAAGCATGTTGATGGATTCTTGAAATATTGCCTGCATAATTGGGTGAAGATCGAAAACTGTAATTGAATCAGTTACTTAGAGAAGAAATTCAGTTCTTTTACGCAGGACTTACTGTGCTCACCGCCATCTAGTAAAGGCCATATCTCCCTAGGCCGATACCCTAAGAGGCACACGTAAGATACGATGACTGAAAAACGCATATGAAATATTGTTGGGCAAAACCGAGCTAGGCTCCTGCACTCATCTAGTAAAAGTTCTGGGAAAAACATAGATGGGCTATCGTTATGATCAAGAAATTAGCTCTTTCGTTTCTTATTTAGAAACCTGACTCTTCACTTACAATTTTCCATTTTCCTCGCCAGCAGCACTAACAAGTGTTTTGATCAGTCTCTTCGCCGAAAACGCGAGTGATTCAAGAGTTAATTGAGCGATGGTTTTGTCTGAACGCATCCGACGGTCTCTGATTGCGTCGAGTGCTATCTCCAAGGCTAGCTGTGAATCGGTCAGATGAGGCCGCTTATTAGGAACGCTCCATACGACTGACCAGAGCGTGACTTTTTCCACTTTCATCTTGATCGTATGGAGAGGACTTCCTATCTCTATAGAGAGAGAGTATCGCATGTTCCGCTTCTGCAAACCTCAATGAGATCTCATTTGCTGTGGAGCGCGCTGATCGTCTTTTTATATATTCGGAAAGCTCATCCAACACATCATAGACTAGACTGTGAGATCTTGGGACCATACTTTTATATCGAATAGACATCCCAGGAGTTGTAGTCCCGAGAGAATATTCGATACATGTGAGAAAGAGTCTTGAAGATAGAGACCAGAGCTTGAATGGAAGCTGTGCCCTGGCGATTGTTTTTGTCGACTGGTCAATTCCGAAATATCTGCAGCCACGTGTATGCTGACCAGGACTATGCTGTTCATACTCGAACGTAGCATGCCACACTCGATAGGACAATGCTGAAACTTTATGCTGTCGCTTGCATGTACAGTCGAGGGGGTACTTTGCCAACTGCTTTGGATTCCTTGTTCTTGCAAGAGCGGAAGCTTGTCTCGACCTGACGTTCTGAATAGACATTCTATCCATACCCTTTAACGGAATTCTGTCAGCGTTGTCATAAAAAGGCTCTCTGATATGTCTGACCAGGGTTGTTCGTATCAATTCATTTTGAAAGTTGTTCTTTTCTTTTAGCTCGTCCAAAGCTTTCATAAAACACTGGTTGATGTCTTCTTGGTGCCGTTGATTGATTGACATAAGAGAGCCAATGTCGGTATTGATGAGCCTCAGCTGCCCGCCAATCTCTTGTCGAAATTGTTGCGCGAATGTTTGAGCCTGGGATATTTCAGTTCTCAAGTCCTGATAGTAAACTGCCATGCTGCTGTCTAGAAGCTGAAGTTGGTCAGAGAGCTTGGTCACGTTTGCGTCTTGGTCTTTCATGGCATTTCCAAGATCATCAAGATTAGTACGGATTCCGACTGCAATATCCCTAAGCGTTTATTTAGCTTGGAACTTAATTGATAGAAGGTTGAAGTGCATACAGTGAGGTTATATTCAGACCGAGACTTAGATGTTGGAGCAAGCCCTTCAATGCCTGGCAAAGTGACTTCAATTTCCCTTCGCGAAACGGATATAATAGCGATCGTCTGGCATTATCCATCTTTCCCAGCACATAATGCTCTGGACTTTCTGTTCCACGGAGCTTGAGTGAGAATTGCTGGATTTCGCGAAGCTTTTCTTCACTCTCGGCCAAGCATCGACGAATGGCTGGTGTTTCAGGGGAACTTTTGTCAACCTTTGGCAAGATGCCCTTCAGGGAGTAAAGAATCGATACCATAGTTTGAACATCGCTGAGGCTTTCTTGGATATCTTGATCTTGAGCTTTGAAAGATTGAAGGTAAGATATCAGGCCTTGGCAGACCTGTATGCCGAGCGAAATGATGCCGACCGCGCTCCCCGCGACGGAAAGCGGATCGGACATGTTGCAAGGTCAATGTGTGCAGAAAGGACCAACGACAAGGGACAAAGGATCTTATATAGCAAAGAGGGGAAAGACGTATTTCTACTCGAAAGATTTGAGCTGCGTGCGTAGATGTGAGATTGAAAGGAAAAAGACAAGTCAACCCCGCTTCCGATGCTTGTGAATCTCAGCCGTCAGGCAGAATGAGGCAACCGCATAATACGTTCGTTTCTTATCCAATCATTCCTTGTAACACAGACTCAGCCTTTGTATTTTCATGCATGGCTGCGTGGCAAGGCAGAACCAACAGTGCCAAACTAATCCCAAGTGTTTTCAAGAGTAGCGGAAAGGCAACAGACAAATGAATGGTATACAGACGTGATTGCGTCTCGTGCGACGGGTAGACCAACAGCGTTCAGCTTTTAGGAGGCCAAATGCCAGTTATGTATGGTGTAAGCTGAGCAGTAATTCTTTGCTTAGTCACAAGGCTAAAGTCGACCATCGTGAAGAGTCAAGTCACTGAGGCAAAGGCAAAAGATGTAATCCGCAATGTCCTTGATTTAAGTATTATCCACTATGAAGAGTAAAGTATATAAGGAGTGTAAAGAAGATGTCCAGCGAAGTAAACGTGCTATGTCCAAGCCAAAGCCAAAGCTAAGGCAATCTCATAATATCATCAGAGCCTCTTCCAGGCTGTCCTCCACCAAGTAGCTATCCCCCTCAATCTCTCCGCGAATTCAACACCTTTTAGTAACCGCCCTTCTTGCAGGCGCCCTTGTGCTGGTCCCAGTACCAGCCCTGCTTGCAGCTGCAAGTCTTGGACTTCTTGTCAAAGACCTGGTCGTGCTTCTTGCAGACGCAGCCGCCGTACTTGTACTCGGCATCCTTGCCGCAGTCGTAGGCGCACTTGTGTCCGTCCCAGCTCAGGTCCTTGGGGCACTTGCAAGACTTGCTCCAGCGGTCGTAGTACTGGCCCTTGGGGCACGAGCACTTGCCGTACTGCTCGATCTGTCCCTTGGGGCAGACACACTTGCCGTAGGCCTCGACCTTGCCCTCGGGGCACTCACACTTCTTGTGCCACTTGTTGTAGACCTTGCCGGCGGGGCAGACACACTTTCCGTGCTCGTATGTCTGGCCTTGAGGGCACTGGGGAACACACTTGCCGTACTCGAGCTTGAAGCCGTCCTTGCAGACACACTTGCCGTACTTCTCAACCTGGTTGTCGGGGCAGACACACTTTCCGTACTTCAGAACCTTGCCGGAGGGACACTCGCACTTCTTGGTGTGCTTGTTGTAGGTCTGGCCCTTGGGACACTCAGGAACACATTTGCCGTACTCGAACTTGAAGCCATCCTTGCAAACACACTTGCCGTACTTCTCGACCTGGTTCTCGGGGCAGACACACTTTCCGTACTCAAAGATCTTTCCCTTGGGGCAGACGCACTTCCACTGGTCCTTGTCGAAATACTGACCGTTGGAGCACTTGGGAATACACTTGCCGTACTTCCACTCAGTTCCCTTGGGGCACTCACACTGGTCGGAGTGAGGGTTGTAGCTCTGACCCTTAGGGCAGTCCTTGATGCACTTTCCGTACTTCCAAGAGGTTCCCTTGGGGCATTCGCACTTGTGAGACCACTTGTTGTACTCCTGTCCCTTGGGGCAGACGGGCACGCACTGGCCATACTTCCACTCAGTGCCCTTGTTGCATTCGCACTTGTCCTTGTGCTGGTTGTAGTACTGTCCCTTGGGGCAGTCCTTCACGCATTTGCCGTATTTCCAAGATGTGCCAGCAGGGCATTCGCATTTGCCGGAGTGCTGGTTGTAGGACTGGCCCTCAGGGCACTTGGGAATGCATTTGCCATACTTCCACTCAGTTCCCTTGGGGCAAACACACTTGCCCTGGTCCTTGTCGTAGGATTGGCCGTAGGGACACTTGGGGATACATTTGCCGTACTTGTACTCAGTGCCCTTGGGGCAGACGCACTTGTCTTGGTCCTTGTCGTAGGTTTGGCCCTCAGGGCACTTGGGGATACATTTGCCGTACTTCCACTCAGTGCCCTTAGGGCAGACGCACTTGTCTTGATCCTTGTCATAGGACTGACCATAGGGGCACTTGGGGATGCACTTTCCGTACTTCCACTCAGTACCGGAGGGACACTCGCACTTCTTGGAGTGAGGGTTGTAGACCTGGGGCTTGGGGCAAGTGGGCTTGTTAGGCACACATTTGCCATACTGCCAGGTGGTGTCCTTGGGGCAGACACACTTCTTGCTGTCCCAGGTGAGCTGCTTGTCGTTGCAGACACACTTGCCATAGACTTCCTTGGCGTCATGGCCACAGTCCCAGCGCTGGACAAGAGTGTCGGAGTCATCCCGAGCCTCAAGACCGAAGTCGTTCTCGGCATCGGGGAGAGCCTTGACCGAGACGGTCAGGGCGAAAAGATTGATGAGGAGGTACTTGATATGCATGATAGGCAACTGCAGGCCTTTCAGCAACGAAAGTGGTTTGGGGTGAAAACGAAAGAAGGGGAGCGAATGGAGGAGGAGGTCAGTCTAGTTTGAGAGACCGGTGCCTTTCTTGACTTGAGAGTGAAGAGACAGAAACGAATTTGGTGAGGATATCATGAGGTTTAAGTAGGAGATGTCTGACTGCAGATGGAATACGAGATCTTGATGGTTAGGGCCCATCCTCCGTCAAGATGATCCTAGCATCCAGATAGGAAGTCAGCTCATGCTACTTTGGGAAGCATGATGCTCCAAGGCAATAGTTCCAAAGCTAAATTCTCTCTTAGACCGGCATCCTCCTCTCGCAGTGTGACATGCATGCCATGGCCAGCCTCAACTGTGGATGCCAGCTGTCTGGCCCAGGGGGGTTGCATATACCACGCCCGAGGAACAGGGAAGGCAGACACAGCAGGACAGGGGCACGAGAAGGTTGGGCTGAGGACAAACCATGACAGCACGGGACATGGAGCAGGCCCAACATTATGCTTACTTGTTGCAACGTGAAGGCAGAGCCGGCTCTAGACCGGACAAGACTTTGATAGTGACAACTTAATCCAGGCTATTGTTTTGTGCCGTGATTGATCCAGATTAGCGTTTTGTGCCGTGATTTCTAATTCTGTCCCGTCTGTGTGTCTTGGAAATGGTGGGTCAGGCTCCAGTGACATGCTAGATAATCTCCGTGAGTGGACGGTCGGCTGAATCCATCACAAAACGGAGAAGCGACGAGCCGAATGGGACCCAAGGTCTGGTCTGGTGTTCCCGTAGATAGTAGCACAGCATACATTCATTCATATGAGTGTAACGATTTAGTAATGGCAGCTGTGACGCAACAAGGCGTTTTCCACGCCCGGGGCGGATGCGCTGGCTGCATCACACACCGATTGAGGAATACGAGGTCCTGCAGTTGCAGATGGTGTTGAAGCTGCAACATCTCGTTGGAGGAGAGGCTCAAGTTGGCTCCATTCTCCGCGCAGCACCAAGGCAAAAATAAGTTGACCGTAAGGCTGGCTAATGCAGGTTGATGGAAAGACAGTATTCTTAGGTCTCACACACGGACAACTCACCAGGGGCAAAAAAGAAATAGACGCGATCAAGAGGTGAGGTTGGGTGAGACAAGCATGGATCCCTGTCGAGGGCCTGGATGTCTCGGAGCCGCGATCTAGGACTATTCTCTTCCCGTATTTTTTGCCAACGAGCTGAACAATCCCCGGCACAAACAAGCGTATGCGCGCGGAGGTACATAGATCCGAATCTCATCAATTGGGCCAAGCTCGCCAAGTCTGGAAAGACCCGATCTTGTTCAAATACGAGGCCCCGGGAGAAAAGGGGGACATTTTCACATACGAGGAGTGCATTGATTGGTAGACAGAGCAGCCACGCACGGGTGAAACAGAAAAAGCAGCTGTTGGTAAATATAGCCAGAAGCTGCAGCCACAGAGAAACATGTCATTGCTGCGAGGGGTTGGCACCAGTCAGAGAAAGGCATGCAGCCACATTTTTCTTGGTATTGGCTGGTGGTCCACCTAAAGAGGGGGAAGATTTGGGATAGCGACCGACCGTTCCGTGCCCGACAACCGATGGAGGGCGAGGGGCCCTTGTATGTATGCCAAGAAGCATCAGAAGATGGTGGAAATAGCTGGATATGGCCGACATGCAAGGGATGTTTGCTATGCTCGGTCGATCTTGTTCTTCTCAGACCTTGTCTCGCTTCGTTTCGTTTCATCAACCCCGCCCGAGGATCCGACGCAAGAGACAAGAAAAAAACATCGTGTCGCTTCAATAGTGGCCGTGGCCCGCCAACTCACGCGAATTACAGTTCAAGTCCTAGACAGGGGACCCCTGTTCTCCAAAAGCTTAGGGCCATAAGCTCGATCGCGGGGACAGTCTTGGCCTGATTTTAGCTCAGTGATGATCATGATGTCCAGACCGCGAAAGGCGTGTCTCATTGGCTGCTCCTGTGCACAAACGGGAGAATCTATTCTTGCCAACGTGCATAACTCCCTGACTAATACTCTCTCGGTTAGAACCGTTGCGATCGTGGTTTTCTCGGGTATTTTTAACTTCAGTAGTCTGTGTTCTCTTTCCTTACCATGACGGCGATGTTTCTACTCGATTACACTTTACCTTGGGGTGAGCAGATTTCCATTGAATAATCGTGACGTTTCAGGTCTGGCCCAGCTGCGAGGAAAACAAAATCCTGGTTCATGTTGCATTTTCAATCGCTACAGCTAAGCTTGGCTGGGCCCAAATCTCACCTGCAGCTCTAGCATCAGGAGAGAAGAAAAACGCCCATTGAGAAATACATCACGGCACGAGAAACAAAGTTTTCCGCCGCTTATTTGCGGGGAATGGCTGATCGAACCTGGGAAAAACTATCCGCCCGTTGTGACGATCCAGGGCGCCATGCCTTTCAATTGGTCACCCCAGAACACGAGAGGCTGGCCCCCTCCCCAATTCTTGTGTCCTTTCCCCTGTAATCTTTGCGTTAACGAGATTTTGTTGATGTTTGGTAACTTTAT